AGGGAAAGGGACTTTGCTGTCAATATCCTCATTTCATTGATACCAGCCAGCCTAGCTGGAAAATCTGATTTCTGCTACTATTTACCTACTTGATCTCCTTGGCAACTGTATTTCCAGAGGACAGTTTATGATGTCCCAAGCAGGAGATGCTTTCCCTTGTTGCTGCATGCCTGACTTGAGCACTGACATTTCCATGCTAGTGTTACACAAAATCCAGAGTATTTCACTCATTTTCCAGTGTACATCATTATAATCAGCCATCACATACCGTGTTTCCAGAAAGGATGTATCCTAACTGTTGTAAATGTATGTTTCTAGATTTTGTTGTTCACCAGATTTTGCCCTACCAGTCAGTTTCAGTGGATACGTTCAACTCAAAGAATGATGTGTTTGTAGCCATTGCACAGCCCAGCATGGAGAACTGCATGGTGCTGGAGTGGGATCACATTGAAATGAATTTCAGGAGTTATGACAATATCACAGGTATATGAGCACTGGGATTCCAGTTGTTGATGAACTGTTGGCATTTCACAAGGATGAGATTCATAGGTGGGAGCAGTTGATGGGTTTTGTCCCAAATCTCTGTTGAATTTGGCAGATCAAACTGTGTAATGTTTTGACACAAGTGACTTCAAGGAGTAGTGCATCTTGTTAGTACATGCACATTTAACCTCGCTGTAGCACACAAACTACGCATTTTTTGTCTGATTCTGTAAAGTGTTCTGAAGGCACAAACACTTGCTGTCAATGTCATGTTGTGGCCCAACTTAGCACTCACTGCCTGGATTACATTGCAAGTTAAAGTGTAAGTTGAAGGAGCCCTTGCTCTTGCAAAATTGCCTGCAAAAGAGTATAAAAATACTGTACTGCATGTAGAAGAAGATAGGTCTGAAGGATGCTTCTAGGGTGTGTTTCACAGCTGAAGATGACACTGAAATATTTAAACCATAGCTGTAACCTAAAGAGATGTGCCATAGAGCTTTCATGTTTACTTTCCATTTACAAACGTGCTGAATTAGCTTGCTGGCCAGGTTACTCATCAAACAAAAGTCCCATGTGGAAGCCAGGGGATTTTCTGTGTTAACAACCGTTCTGTCCCTGACGGACTCTCCTGGTGCTTTGTCACACCATGAGAGCAGAGACAGTTTTCAGAGCTGTTATATGCTTCCTGCTTTCCCAGCTACTTCAAGCTACTGGTTCTAAATTTATCTGTGGAGCACCCTGTTCATTGTTATATGTGATGGATTATTTTTTACCTTGCATTTTGGGAAACAAAGAGGATTCTGCATTCTCATTTGGTGTTGAAGTCTACAAAGGCTGCAAGCACCTACCACCTCAGATGAGCTCTGTGTGTCACTAAGGAAAGTTTACCAGATGCTACCCCTCCATCAAGAAATTTTGGATATGAAAATTTTTGCTTTTTTAGGTTTCATAGTGGTCTAGATTAGAGGGAAATACGTACCAGTGGATGTAAATTGAGAAGAAAGAGCCTCTTGCACAGAGTGTTTGTAGAGCTCAGGAGCCAGCTATGGGCACAATGGGGAGTTTCATTACTAACTGTCTTTGGCATCTGGATGCCTGAGTTTAGCCCTCATGGGCTCATGGAGCTGAGCTAGTTGTCAAGATTGCCTTTACAGTCAACATCCAGGCATTGCTGTCCTCTGCAACAGGAGGCATCCACAGGCCAGATGGAATCTCTTCCAGAGTGCTTTTTGACTAAATTAGACCAGAAAGAGGCTGGATGATCAACTCGAGGAATCATGTCTACACTGAAGATACCTTATGGTACTTGAGATGAATCCCACCCCTCCTACACCAGGAGAGTGGTAGATCATCCCAGGCTGGCCGTGAAGCAACTATGGGTAGGGGAGTAGCAGAGGTGCCAGGGTGAGTCTCCTGTAGTGACTGTGACCCAGCACACACAGGGAATCTTTGCAGTTACAGTTCTACTTAAGCTGTGTGCTTCAGAGAGGAATTCCCTCCTTCTTCCAACAAAACATTTCATAAATAGTCTGGTTGGTTTTTTTATGTCTTTCTTGTATAGTGACTTGACATTCTCAAAATGGACCATAAGCTGATCTGATCTAATCTGGTAACTGCAATATTCCTAAATATTTCTAGTTTAACATAATCTAAAGAACACTTAACAGAAACAACAGATTTATCTTTTTTCATCCTGCTGTCAGGTGATACATCCACAAGATACATCACTATTTCTATTTGCAGTAGCAAAAAGCTGACTCTGGCCCTTTCGAGCAAGAAAAATAGACTGTATTTAATTTTTCCAGTTAAACTGGAAAGACAGATGGTCCAGGAATAAGAGAATTTCAGATTCCTGCT